AAAATTTAGAATTTTAGCAAGCTGTCTTGTCAGCATAATTTAAATATAAAGTGTAAATTTTATTCATCTTGAGTCATCAATTCAAAGTTTGATTCATCCTTGGACCTCTTAGGTTGCACTACATCTAGGACAATTGTGTGTGGATTATGCTATTAGCTAGCAACGCATTTCAAGTAAGCATAAGCCCAGAGGTATTTGTATAAATCAAACTCTATCATAAAAAGGATATCATGTATTCAAAATGTATTTTCTATAAATTCTAATGATATTTTTTAGGGAATGATTTATATTTTCAAGATATTTAAGGCAACTCTTACGCATTTTAATTTAGATTGAGTCCAATCTTCACTTTAATCAAAAGTTTTATCTTTGGAGATGTAATTGACTATAGGGGCTTACCTATATAGGAATTCAAGATCCAAATATAAAATAAACCTTATCTTAGTTTGGTCAAATAGGGGAAAAATTTTCTAGTCATTGACTAAAGCTAATCCTAGTTAGTTTTGTATTTAAAATGATAGGTGTATGTGAATATTATCCTCTAGGATGAATTTTATATCCCCTATACCGAATTCAAATACAAAAAAAAACTATTTCTCATCTCAGTCGATAATACGAGTGTCAGTTTATGTTTCAAGAAGATTAACACTAATTATGCTGATTTTATTATAGAAATATTAAAATCCAAATCAGTGAAACAACAATCATCATTTAATTTGTCCACGCCACCCAGTCAGGTCCTCTCCATTAAATTTTAGAAACATAGATTTGAAGTGCTTGTGTGTGGGCTCTAAACAAGCACCTAAGTGATATTTAAATAATGGTTGAGCTAATTCCGTAAAGACAAAGGGGTTCACTTTAGGATACTCATGGTGAGGGCTCATGGAAGTTCATTTGGCTTGGAGTTTGGTAATGATACTTTAAAGCACCTCATTAAGGTGGTCTTAGCTCACCTTATGTCATGTGATGGTCTTATAAGTGTTATTATAGAATTTGGTGTTTGATTTCCCATGAGTATCCATGATATTGATCTAAGACCATTAATATTAGTTGTAATAAAAATCAGGCTTAGTAGAAAGTATATATAGGAGGAAGAAGTGAATTACATTCATCATAATCCTTGCAATTATAGTTTTATTAGATATACTACTAATACTTAACTTCACTTACCTTCAACTAATATACTACTAAGAGTTAATCAGACTACATATTTGGTTCCACATCCCAAGCTGCTAGTCCAAACACTTATACAACATTTGTATGAATGATATCACAAAAAAAAAAAAAAAAGATTTGCATATATCATCCATCAAGTTTATGAATACTATCTAACTTCATTGGACATGCTTGCTCTTAAGAATCACCATTTTTTTCCATGTGCTAGAAATAAGCAAGGAAGGTTGAGGTCAAAGGCTTAAAATTTTACCTTTAATCACACACATGAGCTTCTCTAATGATACAAATAAGTAATTATAAAAAATACAAAGGGCTTTAATGCTATATTTAAGTAGCAGTGCATTTTTAAATCCTCAGAATATGCAATATGGTAGAAACTAAAAGATTTAATTTTTATTTATAAGTACCCAAGATAAGAAAGACAAATAAAAGACAAAGATTTTGTTTCTTCCTTTAAACAACACCATGTTTCTTAAATGCCCAAAATAACAAATAAGATGGAGCCAAATGATTTGTTTTTTCTTTCTGTTAATCACACTACTAAAGTTCCCAAGTGCTTGAAATGAGCACGTAATGTAGAAGCCAATGCTTTAATTTTATCTTTAAACCACACACATTTTATCAGTACATGAAATGAGTAAATTTGGATGCTAGAAGCTTCAAATTTTAACTTAGATCACACTTATCAAGTGCCCAAAATGAGCAAAGGAGGTAGCCAAAGGCTTCAATTCCTCCTCTAAAAAGCTTTATACTTCCCATGTGTCCTAATTTTTGTTTTCAATCACGCTTCTCAATTGTCAAATGCAAAGCAAAATGGAGTTGAAAGGTTTTATTTTGACCTTTAAGTGACACCAACACTTTCTAAGTAACAAAAGAAAGAAAAAACTTGAAATTTTTATTGAAGAAAAATGTTGGGTGTTAAATTATAAAACTCTCAAAATAAGTTAATTAATGATTACCTCCTCTTTGAAAGAGATTATTCTTGGTGACCGTATGAGAAGTATCTAATTTTTCTACTAACTTTGAAATGAAATATAAATCCATCTAAAAGGTTTGTTATGTCATCTAGAAATTATGAGTGCTTTGGTGCGTCACCTCTAATTTGAGATAGCCTTTGCTTATCATTTCCTTTAAGGTGATATAGGATTTTGCCTATTTGAAGAAAGTAAAAAAATAATATTTTATATGCGACAACAATATATTACCTAAAGAGATTAATAGCTATTACCTTTGATGATAATTTAAAGCTATCTAAATATAAGCCTTACATGCATGGACTAAAATAGGACAAAATTACCTCAAATGGCCCAAGTAAATTCTTATACCAAAATTAACCAATGTGGTGCCTTCTAACTATTTAAAAAAAAAAGGTCATCCAAAGATCATTGCAACAATTTTATTTACAAAATATTTATATTTTTTTATAACATAAATTTGGTTTTTTAAATTACCAAATTTGCTAAGAATTTACTTAGGTACCATTTGGCTTGCTAAAATATAAATGTAGAGTAAACTGGAATACAATGTAAAAGGAGTGTAATTTATTTGAAATATTTATAGTTATTTTGATAAATATAAAATAAATGTAGGCAATTACTCCCTTTTGTTTGGTTTGAAATAAAATAAATGCGATGTTAAACTTAGCAATGATGGTGGCTATTAACGATGGTGGTGAACAGCATTTGGTTGTCGGTGTTGAGAGTAAGCACCTAGTGATGGTTGGCAAGAGATGCCGAAGGGTGGAAACTCATTACCCAATTCAAAATTTGGTCAAAATAAGAAATAGAGTAATTGGTTCAATTTAGAGGCACTTGGTTCACAAATTAGCTGGAGAATATTATAAATATCATAATAATGGTTATAATTATCATAGTCGAAGAAGACAAATGAAGAAATATTTTTAAATTGTTTTGGAAGGATGAATTAATCAAATTTGAATGAATTTTTTTTTAATTTTTAATAAAACAATTCAAAAAGGGGAAATTAATATAAACCTGACAAATATCTATTACTGATCATAATATATCTCCTATATCATTAGAACATGCACTGTGGATATTGACCTAATAATTAACCTCTATAAAACACATGTACACAAGCTTTAATTTTAATGCATAGGGCCTTCATCAATCTATCCATTTATCATTGTGGTATGATGGTCTAGTATGTATCTCAAAGATATTATGTATTTGCTCTTCATCCTTTGATTGACTAGAATAAGATGCTCAAATTCAAGGACATTTTTTTTAATTATTAAATTTATATTTGAATTTGAATTTTAAATTTTGAAATTTAAAATTGAAAAGTTAGTTGATTTAAATTTTGGAAGTTGGTGAGAATAATTGAAAGAAAGTTGAAAATGAGGGTTGATGACTATAACCGTCATTTTTACATAAGAAGCCCTTTCATGTAAATCCACAACAAGAATTATCATGTAGGCCAATAATGTCTTCGTATCAACATCTCAATAGTAGTTTCAAATCCAAGATGAAGCAGTTAGCCTCCTTCCCTTGAAATAAAAATTCAAATGAAGAGGTGCCTCCTAAAAAACACCCATTTCACTTTCCAATTGTCGGCCTCCATATATATATATATATATATGTGTGTGTGTGTGTGTGTGTGTGTGTGTGTCTTCTCTTCCAACTTACGGTGGTGATAGGTTTTTCCTCTTCAATTGGCATTAGAGAGCTTCCTCTACCATTAGTGGTGCATGACCATTTCATTGTAGCTAAATGTTCCCATGATCATGATTAGAGTTGTTATCATAGCATCACTCCAAACTTCATCTTCCTCATCATCTTTCCATGGTTTTCTTTCCTTGTGTCTTCCTCTATCTCTCCAAGTAAGAAAATAGAAATATTCATATGCTTTAATTTTATTCTCCAAATGAATTTAGCTTCATCTTATACATTTTATATCCCCAAAGTTAGCCCTAGCCCTTCTTTGTTACCCCAAAATCTCTTACACACTCCTCACTTCATTAACCATTCAACAATATTGATCTACACAAAGAAGGTTGCTTACATTTCCAAAGACCACCTTCCATGCTTCATCACAATTGAGATCCATTTTAATTTAGCGTATATCTCAAAGTAGACAAAGAGTTGCTATTCATCATACAAAATACCATGATTTCAAAATGTCACTTATCTAATCACTTATAAGTACCTCAAAACTGGCCAAAATAAAGAGTCTCTCTCTATCTTCATGAGGCCTCATTTAGAACACTTATTCTCTAATCCTCAATAGAAAATTCAATTGAAATTATTTCAATACTTATTCGTTTGCTAATTTTTGTTGCTAACAAGTGTAACATGATTTTCATGGAGACAAAATCTTCAAATTACATTTGAGATATCTTGTTTTTATTTATTATGCGAACGCAATTATACAAGACAAATTATGTCAATATGCCTAATCTTTACCATTATTTTGGGCATATAATAATTTTTTAAAGTTATATTATAATTTTCATGATATTTCATATAAAAATTTATTATATTAAAAAAAAAAAACATATCCTATCTCATTAATTCCTCCTCAATCTTGTTATTGGCTAGCTAATTTATTGCTAGTTAACCCCTTCCAAAGCGAGGCACCATTAGGATTCAATCAAGTTTTACTTGAAACAAAATTTTAATTATATAAACATTAAAGCTCCTAAAATATCAATATGGTTTTCAATAGAGCCATTTTATTATTTGGGTTTGCCACTTTTGATCATGTAACTAAGCCCGTATCTTGCTCACATGGGACTAACATTTTCGGGCTCGAGCGGGTCGGAAAATTCAATACTATTTAACCAAAACGTATAATAATAGTGTGGTGGTTACTGCAGCAGCTGTAGGCTGCGAAAGTTGAAAGAAAATGAGGAGCGTAAATTGAGTCGGAAGCTGTGAACGACTGCGACGAAGAAGATGGGTGGTTCCGCCCTCTACTGCTCCTCACACATTCCGTGTTCCTTTCGTCGGAGTTACCCTCCGCATCCACATCCTCGCCGCCGGTTGAACCTCTTCAGTGGTTGTATATCCCTAGTCGGCGGGCAGAAGCGGCAGCGACAGCTCGGATCGAGTTTCCTCTGCTATGCGGATGAGAATCAGAAAAGGCCTGAAGGGGACCCCTCAGCCGGAGGAATCCAACTCTATTCCGACATCGAGAAGTACTTACGAGAGCTATTAATCCTCTTTTCCGCTCTTCACCTGCTTAGAACTTGATCGTGGACTATTTGACGTCAATAAGAAGCTCATACACGATTGAATATTCTTTCCAAAATCTGAATTTCAATATCTGCGATTGTTTGTGGGGATTATTAGTTTTCTTATTATTTATTGGGATTGGTAGTTTCTTGCATCATGCCCGATGACATTTTTTCTTATTACGGGATTGCAGAGATCATGAAACTTGAACTAATGGTTTCCCTTTCTTTTACTTCTCATCGGAAACTTTGGAATTGCAAATAGTATTCCAAAATAGGAGAGCTTAATGATTTTCTCATGCAAAAGTGAACTTGTTATCCGAATAAGGCATACTTATGTATTCGTGATAAGATTGGTTTGCCGAAATTTAGCACTTCTAATTAATTAAAGTGCAAATTCTTAGCGTTTCAGAAGTTATTTTCAAAATGAAAACAACAACTGGTTATGATAACTTTAGGAATATGAAGGGGTACATCAAGATTATGGCATTCATTCCCAATGTTAAACTCTTTTTTTTTTTTTTCCCTGTAAGCTATCCTTTTTTATGCTATGCTGAAATTTTTGCAAGGAAAAGATCAAATTTGTTACCCACTTTGCAGATTAATTACTGAAACAGCAAGACAATCTCAGGATGGCTGGGGTAGCACTGGAGATTGGAAGGAGATTGAGGTCCTCTTCTTATGCTCGAAGCATTAATGATTATAAGATCTTTTGATAATCTGCTCTATAACTAATAGTATTATAAATGAATGTCTATTAGTGAACTTCAGTGGCCTTGGATTACTAATTTTCCATCGTAATAGAAAGTCGAGAGTGTTAATGACTGCAGTGATTACAGAGAGTAAATGCTTGACAATTCCATCAAATTAATCATCTTTTTTCAGCTTTAATAGAACTTAATGGTGTCATAGGTCTAGAAATCAACAGCAACGGACCAATCCTCTTGTCCTGGTACATAGAAAAAAACAAAGTTTGGGCTGATAATATCTTTCAGTTCTGTTGATATCATGATATATTTTATTCAGATTCACGCAAAAAATTATTCTGCAGCAGTAGCCATTCAGCAAAATCCAAAACAAAACTGTTAAGTAAAGACAAAAGTAGCTATTCATTTTTTTTTTTTTTTGAAAAAAAAAAAGGTCGCAGGTCAGTTTGCAATGATATTTTAGACAATTTTGTAAGATATATAACACATCATTACATGTTTTTTTATGAATTAATAACATGCTTTTATCATGGAAATTTTTTCGCATGATTCAACTGAAGTTGCCATTTCATGAGAATGAGCAACTTTAGGCTGATTAGCAAAGCATGGCATCAGTATATCTTCCTTAGGATAATTTCGATTAACCTTGTCAAAACCTAGCACTATCTTGCTGGTTCTAAGTTTAATTTGTAGTTTACACAGAATTGACAAAAAATTTGCTATTTTTCTAACTTTTATTTTTTAATTTACACTATAATAGTGATGTGAAACATACATGCGATGGAGGAGTTACTTTAAGAAATTAAAGAGATCAATTGAAACTTAATAACCCAAAATAAAATTATCGTTTATAATAAAAGAGTGATCATTAGAATTCGTGGTTTTAACTTGCTTAGGCAAAGATGAGCAAATTTCGGAAACCAAACATATTAAGAAAACTCAAAGTTCAAATTGTAAAACTACGACGGTGAACAAAAATCCACAATTTAATAATAAGAACTTTCACCTTTGGAGACCATACACTCGACTAGTCTAGGCTTTAGCGGAAGAAACGTCTCCACCTTAGAATCGAGGTCGCTTCGAGGAAGGGGGAGCCTTGGATCGTCGCTCTTGGATAGGTGGCCGGAGCATGGAGTTCTTGATAACGTTTTCTTGAAGGTGTACTCAGCGGCCTGGAATGTCCGGACGGTGTCTGAAGACATTCTAATGGGCTGGACAGCAAGAGAGCATGTTCCCGATCTCCTAAACAGCAGTTTTTAGGTGCGGGAAATGCAAAACAGCAGACAGGAGGCGTATGGGCAGCAAGGGGTTGCCTTCTGGAGCTGTCCAGCTAAGGTGGACCTGCAAAAATCTGTTGGGCAGCAAGTTCGCAAGAAGATATCCAATGGAAGGAGAGAGGGAGTACTTGATTTCAATTCTCAGATTTGAAATCTGAAATAAAACTGAGAGTTCATTTGAGAAGGGAGGTATTTGGGCGGTAATTAAGAGGTGATGAGGTGGCAATTAGAGGGAGAAGCAATGGGGTGAGGTGGCCGGCCACATGGAGAGAGAGAGGGCTTGGAGGTTTTAAGTAAGTGGGGACCACAAGTAATTAATCAAAATCTGATTTTAATTTCAGATTTTAATTGTCTCATGTAACTCCCTAATTTAAATAACATGAGGAGGGAATTTGAATTTCAAAAGAGTGTAACCCCCTTAATTAATTCCCAAATTAATTGGCTCAATTAAGAAGGCGAATTCAAATTTCAAATAGCTCCTAATGTCATTAATTGCCTTGCCTGAAGATGGATTTTAATTTGGCAAATACTTGAAACGCCTGGAATTGAATTTCACGGGCTTGGGCAAGCAGGGCAATCCAGCGGCAAGGGAAAACTGCCGGGGGACGGGGTGCTGAAGACACGGCTGGCTGGCAGGGATTTTGGCTTGCGTGAAATCCAAACAGAGAAATAACTCTCTTGCTTATGTGAATTCAAGCAGAGAAGAATCTCTGCTGCTTTCGTGAAATCAAAACAGAGAAGAAACTCTGTTGGCTGCACGGGAGGGCCATGGGTGGCGGCCAGAAGCCTGGAGAGTGACTGGCCGGTGGGAGGGGAGCAGCTAAGGTGGTCGGCGGCTTGAGCAGCTCAGGTTAGGCGGCGGCAAATGCAAAGAGAAAGAAGATGGAAATTCCACGGCGATGACGAATACGGAATTACTAACCTCGTCTGTTTACACCTTGATTTTCCACAAGATTGGATAACTCGAAAACTAGAACTCACAAAGAGATCTAGTCTTCTCCGGTGAACTAGAACTCACTAAGAGATCTAGTTTCCTCCGGCGAACTCACTAAGAGATCGTAGGAGAAGATGAACTCACTAAGAGAACAAGAGTAAAATTTTATTTCATTCCAAAAACTGAAATTACAAAGCATGAGGCCTCATATAAATAGGCCAAAATGAGAAAATAAGAAATGACACAAATGCCCTTTCAGGCTACATAAGCGACTAAATGCCCATAAGGGCAAAAGTGGAAAAAACAACAAAATAAATATGCTACTACATAAATGACAAAATACAAGTCATGCTCGTGGCCGTCGATCTCCGGCGTCGACAATGCTGACGATGTCCTCATCAAATAGCCAATTATTGTGGTTATGCTCGTAATGAGCCCATTCACAAGTACTATTTTAATGATCAGCTGCTCTAAAATGTTTAGTATTGGCACAAATTATATCCTTGCTTATACTTGTCTGAATTCCTGTATGTTTGCCTGCCTGTTAAGGTAGCAAATGTCTATGTCAATCAACTTTATTTTCAAGGAGAATTTATAACATTGTATGATCAGAAAAACATGAGGTTTAAGTTTAGCTATTTCTCATAGATATAGATTGGATTAATTTTCATTGCTAAGCATATATCCACCTAAGATGACCCCAGAGGTTAGATAAAGTCAATACTACTTTTCTTCAAGAAGCTAATAGTTTGGAATTGCCAATAGAGCTACTGAACTGTATATCTCTTGTGATTTTTGCAGTTTGTTAATGACACTGTGAAGATTATTATCTGAATTTTTATGCTACATCCATTCAAATGACTCACTAACATCCATTAAAAATCTCTTACACACATTGAGAGTGACTGGTAGTTATAAATACTTTCCCTTAGAACTTCTTCTGGTATAGCAATGATGACTACCTATCTAGTCTTTTTCGTACTTTGTAGCTTAACCATGCTTGATATCCCATGTTCAAGTCACCTTTGGCAACTGCATCATCAGTCATATGCGAAATGGTTCATGATTGGATTATCCTTACTTTTGAATTCAAACTTCTTGTATTTATTGTTTTGTTGAGTCTTTAGTACTCAATCCTAATATCATTTTTCACAGCTAGAACTTCAGTTCACGGGTAATATGCTTTGAATCTTACTGTGGTTATATGCCCATAACTTATTTAGCTGTCAGGGTAGAACTGAGTCAGCACCGTACATTTTCATTGTGAAAAATAAGAATAAGCACCTTGGGAAAAGTAATAAAATAGGTAATCAGGTAATAATCTAGAATAGATCTCCGTTTAAAAAAAAAAAAAAAAATGGAAAGCACAAAGTGAAATGCTTCGGATGACCTGTTTGCTTGGTATATTTTCTCAATATTAAAACTGAAATATTCTGTGTTTGTAATTACTTCCCTTCTTTAACTAATTACCTATACTATGTACTCGTGAATAGCTTTTATTAATTCTTCGTTTAAATCTATAGGGTACTTGGGTCCTCAGACCAAGACATACAAGACCAAGATCGATTGTTCATTTTATTGGGGGTATATTTGTTGGGGCTACACCTCAACTTACCTATCGTCTATTTCTTGAGCGACTCTCTGACAAGTAAGCTTTTTCAGTTTAGTTTCTTTTTTTATTAGCCTCCAAATAATTAAGAAAAATCGTTGCTTGGTGTTACTTGAGTTTAATGAGATTTTGCTTTTTTACGTATTTATTAATACTCACTAACCTTTGCAACTAGGATACTACCTGGTTGCTTTGTAATAATTCAATGTAAAAAGCATATGGACATCTTTTAATATAGATATAAGACATTAATTATTCATTGGAGGAATGTATCAGGCCTATTGTGTGCTAGAAAAGTGCCTTTTAAACTTAAGGAAAATTCTATAAGATGGTGGTGAGAAAAGCAATGTTTTATGGCGCAGAATGTTGGCCATTAAAAGAGAAGCATACAAGTAAGTTAAGTGTTGCATAGATGAGAATACTCAGGTGGATGAGTGACTTTACTCTTAGAGATATAATATGAAATGAGCATGTGTGAAAAGGTTGGAGTAGCTCTAGTGGCAGATAAGATTAGAGAGAGTCACCTTAGATGATTTGGTCATATAAAATGCCAATCTTTTGACGACCCGGTTAGGAGAGTAGATGTATTAGATTTGACCTATGTTAATAGAGGTTGTGGTAGACCTAAAAAGACATGGTTAGAAAATATTAGAAATGACTTTTTTATTAGTTTAAAATGAGAATTTGACTCTTAACAAAGCACAATGGAGAAAAACATTCATATAGTCAACCCCGCGTAGTGGAATAAAATCATGATGTTATTATTGTTGTTGGTCACCTCTACCACAAGATAGGTTTGGTTATCATCTCAATTGCCTGAAATTTGGGTAGATATTCATTTTTTTAATGACCTGCCTTTTATCCAAGTTCTATAGGTACTTGTTTTGGTATCTTCTCTTTTTGTTCATTTTACATTATAGTTTTTTGAAACATCTCCAAAACAAGAAGTCCTATAGTAAACAATGGCCTATTTGTGACATTAATGCTATATTAATAATAAAAATTTTGGCCTTTGATCATTAAAACCTATGTTTGTTAGTTCTCTGGTAGTATTTTTTTTCTTTTTGCAGAATCATACTGAATCCGGATCCAAACCTCTAATTTTCTTTCGACCAGGGGTGTTTTGGTAATAGCAACACCTTTTGCTAGTCGTTTCGATCACTTCTCTATAGCAGATGAAGTACAGTTAAAGTATGATAGATCCATGCGGTCTTTGACTGACATAGTAAGTTGGTTTTTGTAAAATTGTTCTATCATTACAATTTCTTCTAAACTTGATAATTTACTTTTCTGTGTAGGAAAATGACCTTCCAACATTTGGTATTGGACATTCCTTGGGATCTGTAATTCACCTTTTGATTGGTATTGATCAGTTCAACAGTTTTTAATGCTTTTTAGGTCTTTAATCAGAAGGATGTAGTTCTATTCTGATTGTTGTATTGCACGTCAGGTTCAAGGTACGCAGTGCAAAGGAATGGGAATGTTTTGTTGGCTTTTAACAACAAGGTAACTAGTTCTATTCTTTACCTACCTTTTTTAACTTATTTAACTGACAGTTCCATTTAAATCTTTTAATTCATTAAATTCTGTTATATTTTATTTTTTGAGTTATTAATTAGAGTACAAGTGAAGAACTTGGCGAGTAAAAAAGTTACTTATATCATTTCATGGTTTATGAACTATGTTTTGTCATTGGGAAAATATTTTATGGTGAACACAAAGATACATCTGAGACGGCAGCAGATAGAGGGCCTGGACCGGCCGGTCCAGCAGGAATCAAATCAGGAGGAGGCGGAACCTAGAGCTAGATCCAAGAAGATTTTGGTTCCTTTTGTGGGGCCCATCAAAGCTATGGTTTCATATGTATGGAGAAGGAATAAGGAAGGAATTAATCACTGTTTAATGCCAATTTGAATTCAAAATGAAGGAGGGAATTAATGAAGGAAATAAGGTTGTTTTGGGGGGAAATAGGAAGAGTTTATTTAGTGCTAGTTATTTTGTATTAGAGTTATGTTTTGATGAGAGTTTTGCTGTAGTTTTTCCTGTGAGGCCTTTTTAGTGGCATCTAGGTTATTTGAAAGAGCCGATCTACCTCTCTAATCGTAAATCACATGTATCTTGTTTTTTTGTATTGAAGTATAATCCAAAATCAGCAATCGTTTGGAGTATCTCTGCAGTTTTGTTGAAGCTCATGAGCAAGAGATAAATAATTTTCTTAAACCTATGGGCTTAACTAGATCTTTGAATATTAAGGTATCCTATGAACAATCTGTTAGTGTGAACCACATCTATAGCAATAGCAGAAATCATTTTCTTCTCCTCGCAAACCTGTCAAAGATATAACAAAACAAAAATCATGTATGCGAAAAATTGATCCTATTGTAGAAATTGTAGTTCTTGTATATCCTTTCAAAAATGAGTTAGATGAAGATTTACTATTACAATTTGACTCTTTTGAGGATGTTTTGAATGTTGAAGACAATTTACAAGCGTAAAATGGTTTCTCGAACTGTGGTTAGTCTGAATCTACACTTATGTCTTGTTAGAAGTTATAGGTTGAATTAGAAGTTGAAATTGAGATCAATTTTGAAGAGGTTGAACATGTAAATTGAATTTATCATTAAATTTTAACTTAAATTACAATTAGAATTTAAATCCATTCCTGAGTATGAACCTAAACTTCTAATAAAAACTTCTAAATATAAATCTAAACTTATACTTAACAAGTAGTCTAAATTTGAGCTAGAATCGAATGCGTGACATGATTGAGAATAATTATGAGCATGAGATGAATTTTGAGTCCAAACTGCAAATGCAACCTTAATTGAAACTGAAACGGAACCTTAGATCATAATTGAATTTAAACTGTACCTAAAATCTAAGTCTATTCCTGAATGTGAAGTAAGGACAATTATGATTGCTAAAGATGTGAATCATTTGAACAAATTGATAAAGAGATTCATGAATGTAAAAGTACACCAATTATGCATTTTGAAATTGATAAATTTATTAAACAAAATCAATTTAACTCCTACTATGGTTTCTATCAAAATCAACTCCAATAATCAAATGGAAATTGATTTAGTTTTTTGCTTCTTGGTTTCTTGACATTTATATCCATAAACAGCGACTTACGGAGGAAGCAAAGTGGAATCAACATTAAAAGAAATCTGAATTTAAAAGTTTAGTCAAATATGAAAGGACTTAAGTGATGTAGAACGGGACTAGGAGAATTCAATCTTAGGAGAAATTCAGCCAGCAGTATGTTCAAATCCCAATTCTCCCCAAAGTGAATCAACGAAATCTGGAATTCACTTGATGATGCTTTCAAAATTCTGAGAATAACTCTCAGGAAATCTGAAACATTTCATATTTTTCTCAATAAATCTGAGAAGAATTTCAGCAATCAATAAGCATAGGAAGGCACTATGAGGAGTAAGCGGTGTGGGCTGTGGGAGAGAGTGGCCTGGCGGGAATGGGAAGGTGGGGAATTTTATTTCCGAATTCCACTGTCTGGATTTAGGAAATAAATTAGAATTAAAATAAGAATGAAAATTTCGGCCAAAACTACAATTAAGAAACCTGTAAAGAGCTTGGCGGGATTATGAGGGAGAAATTAGGGAATTAATTCCTAATTTCTCTCAACAGATTTTGGAATTATTTCCAAAAAACTTTGAGTTAATGAAGGAGTTAATTAGGAGCATTAATTGGCTCTTAATTAAGCAAAGGAAGGAGGAAGAGGGGCCGGCCTAGGAGAGAGGAAGAAAGAGGGGTTTGATTTCAAATAAGTGGGCCCCAATTACTTAAGTGAATTAATCCTTAAATTTGAAATTAATTTTCGGATTTAAAGCTACGATTAATTCCTTAATTAAAAGGAGGAAATTGAGGGGGTATTTAACTCCTAATTCAAATTTGAATTTTGAATTGGAGAGTTAAAACCTTCCAAATGTGGATCAAACCCAATTAGGAAAAATTTCAAATTTGAAATCCAAAATTTGTCATGGGTTTATAATTTCAATTGAGCACTTTCCAAAAATAGGTGAGCTAAATTAGGAAAGAAATTTGAATTTCAAATTTTGAGCAATTTGAATTTCAAATTAATTCCTAATATCATGCACTCCTAATTAGGAAATCCAAGGAGAGGGGAAAGGATGAGGCCGGCGGCTTGGGAGCCATGGCCGGCGGTTTGTGGTGGATCTTCGGGTGAGGTGGCCGGCGGCTTTTGGTGGAAATGGGGACGACGATGGTGGACGGAGGTAGAGGATGACGCAACAAGAAGGAACCAAAGAAAAACAAAGATATAAACGAAAGATAGAAAAAAAAAATCGTGAGCCTCGGACTCTTCCGAAGACTAACGGGTGATGCTTTGCCCTTCTCCAAGGGACTTAAAATCACGAGCCCGGACCCATCCTGCGGCTGGTGAAACTCCGATTCCTTCCCATAGGAATCTCACTCTCGTCCTCTCTCAAAAAGAACACAAGTGCGGAACACCACTTTTTAATATCAAATCTTCCTCTCTTTTACAATAGCTTAAGCCCCTATATATAGGCCACAATATGAGAAAAATCAAAATTACAAAATTGCCCCTTGGGCTACAACATTCAAATAAACTAACCTAGGGGTAAAACAAAAAATACATCAAATAAGAATTAAAATGCAAAAAATAACTCATAATTGAAAATTTAAATAATGGCCGTCGATTTACGACGCCGCCTGCGATAGATGCGCCAAATCTTCGTACCGATGTCCGCATCATTAAGTTTTCATCTTTGGTATTTAAGCCATTGAGATTGCTAATCAATTAAGGTGGGACTTTTGTGTGGTTTGATTTTTTTTTTTATCATCTAATCATACAAGACTATATTATTAATTATTATTAGTAGCCCTTATAAAGACTTTTAGTATTTGAGTTTTCATATCATTTGTATAAGTTACATAAATTGTCTGATTCTATTGAAGAGATTCATAACAAATAAAAAATTAGCTATGACATTTATGTCTTTTGTAGATGCAAATAGGAGATTTGTGGAATTTAAATTTGGTGATGAGGCATTGGTGCATTTACATCTACAAATATTTGAAAGTTCGTTAGGTATGTTAAGCCCTATAGAACTGGCCCAAGGCTAACCAAGAGGGGGGTGAATTGGTATTTTAAAAAATTCTTTAGGCAAAGCACGAATACAAACCAAATCACTATAAAAAATAAGTGTGGAAGAAAATAAATGCGGAAGCAGTAAAAAAACAAGAACACAAGGGTTTATAGTGGTTCGGTCAACTCGACCTACGTCCACTCCCCGGGGGCGCCCTCCGAGTATTGCACTACAATTGTGACTCTCTTTTAGCCCCCACAGCTAGGCGGAGAAGCCTTTACAAACACCTCTTTTTGCCACACCCGGTAAGGCAGAGAACCTTCCTCCTTTTGCTTTCTCCTGAAGCAGGCAGAGAACCTCGATCACTTGCTGGAACTTACCTCTCCCAACCCTCCAATGACAAGAGACTCTAGGGAAGAAGAAGTGAAACAATGCTTGGAGCAACCCTTGTGAATCCCCTCACAAGCTCCCCCTCACAAGATCCTCTCTCTCTCTCTCTCCCTCTCTCTCTCTCCTTTAGGTTTTTTCAGGTCAAGACAGCAGCCAAGGATATTCAAAAACATTGAACAAGAGCTCTTAAATAGAAGAGCTTCAAAGGAGCTCATTAATTGCAAGTTGCCGACTTTATCGTCCAGGACGATATGTAAATCATCCTGGCCGATCAGTACAAATCCCATGAGATCGGCTAGAGCATCGCCCTGAATGCAAACTAGACGATTGAAAATTGGCTTGATCGTCCAGGACGATCTCACGATCGTCCCGGCCGATCAGTTCAAATCAGAGAAAAATCGTCCAGAGCATCGCCATGAGTTCAAGCTGTCCGATTCAGATCGTCCAGGAGTAACTAAGGTTTTTTGACTAGATCGTCCTGGCCGATCCTCATATCGTCCAGGACGATGTGATCGTATCAATCATCCTTAATTACTGCCTTGATTATCTGATCAATTAAGGCATAATTTGTGAAGATTGTCCAGGCCGATCCTAGATCGTCCTGACCGATTATCAAAAATACAGAATACCTTAATTGTTTATGGCAGCAATTTCTTTCTGTTTTGAGCCTATCATCCAGGCCGATACAAGTATCGTCCCGGCCAATTGGCTAATGACGGCTGCCTTAATTAAGAACCCCTGATTAAATTTTTTGTTTTAAGCCCGATCATCCAGGCCGATGTAAATATCGTCCTGGCCAATTTGAGTAAAAACAGAAATTCCAAGTCTCTCAAGTGTGTGTGTAGGGTTACTTTGTATTAGTCACACTAAAGATTACAATTGACTCAAGAAGGGAAAAATAAAATTACAGACTGACTCAACCCTATTCTACCCCATCTTGAGCTGATTCCGATTTCCGTTCGATCTTTGAGTCCTGAAAAGTCAGTAGAAAAAAATAGTCGTAGTGAAACAAGATTTGTTTCGCTA